AAAAAGAAAGAAGAAAAAAAAATAAAAATGAAAATCACAAAAGAAAAACAAATCATGGTAGCATAGGATCCTATTCCTTAAATATCCCGGCCAAAAAACTTAGGATCTCCCGGCCAAAAAACCGAGGAGCCTTTTCTTTCCAAATCCCGGCCAAAAAATCGAGGATCTCCCGGCCAAAAAACCGAGGAGCTTTTTCTTTCCAAATCCCGGCCAAAAACCGAAGATCTCCCGGCCAAAAAACCGAGGAGCCTTTTCTTTCCAAATCCCGGCCAAAAACCGAGGATCTCCCGGCCAAAAAACCGAGGAGCTTTTTCTTTCCAAATCCCGGCCAAAAAACCGAGGATCTCCCGGCCAAAAAACCGAGGAGCCTTTTTCTTTCCAAATCCCGGCCAAAAAACCGAGGATCTCCCGCCCAAAATACCGAGGAGCTTTTTCTTTCCAAATCCCAGCGAAAAAATCGAGGATCTCCCGGCCCAAAAATCGAGGAGCCTTTTCTTTCCAAATCCCGGCCAAAAAACCGAGGATCTCCCGGCCAAAAAACCGAGGAGCTTTTATCTTCCCAAATCCCGGCCAAAAACTGAGGATCTCCCTACACAATCCTGATTTGATTGCTTAGATATGTGTCACAACTAACTCACGAAATTTTCCTAGTGAAAACTGGGGCAGAAAATTTTGTTCGTTTGTTTGTTTTGATATCTTAAGCAGATTGACCTCAACACACAAGATGCGAGTTGACCAAAAGAATGAGTCTCAATCCAAAATAAAGAAAAGAAGAAAAGAGCAAAAAAGAAGTGAATTCAAAGTGCTGAGGCAGACAGAGATGCGGACTGCTCAAAACTTGATTGAAGTCACAACCTCCGCCTGTCCCGCTTTGATCCAAATGCCGAAGAAAGAAATAGCGCCTGCAACTGGCGAGCATCAAGATTTAGATTGGAGTCCACAGCAAGAACCAGCTAAGACTCAAGATCAAGTTTCAAGAGATTTATAGATAGGAATCTTGTAACTCGTAGTTGATAGGCCTAGCTAGCTTAGCTTTTGACTTTTTATTTTGGTGTAATAAGGAGCTCAACAAGCAGAAACAGTAGCAACAACAGCGAAATCACAGCTTCCCGGTAGTTCCAGCTACCAAAACTTCCAGAACTACACTGACCTGATTCCTTTATAGCCAAGGATATGTAGGCAACCTCTGAAGCAGGGCTCGGTCAGGCTCTTTTCAAAAACGCTTCTCATGGAGTTTCAAACGGGCAAAAATCCCTCATATTGCTCAATTTATCTTTGCCCGAAAACTCTTCATGTTTCCGAGCAAAGAGGGGCAGCTGTAAGCACGTGATTTTTGCCCTATATGAAATACTCCTATAAAATCTAAGAAAATTTGCCATTTTAGGAATTTTTATAGATTTTATTGATTGTTTGCATTTTTCTTGCATGTTTAAGTTTTATTTAAATCATGAAAAATACCAAAAAATATCATGCATGGCATTTAGGCTTTATTTTTACATTTTTAGGACTAATCGGTAGTCATTGGTTTTATAAAAATGGAAAATCACAAAAAAAAAATGCTTCCTTTTAACAGTTTTTCCTTTTATTGATTTTTTCTCTTTTAATTTAGGATTAAGTGGTTTTTATAATTTTTATAATTAGCTAATTAGTTTAATTTCAAATTTTGGATAATTTTGGATTTTTAATTTGTAGGATTTTAATTAAAAGAAAAAGGAAAAATTAACAAAATAAAAGAAGAGAATTGGATAAGAAAGGTTTGTCTTGTGAAATTGGGCCAACATTAATGCTGGGCCCAAAGCCTATACCCGAATCTTCCCATACCCAATAACCCACTCAAAGCCCAATCTCCCTACCCAAATACCCATTACCCTTTACCCTACCTCCTACATGTAAAAACACAATTTAGAAACCAAAAAAAAGGACCTCATCCCTGAGATCAGGGAATCAGCACAGCTTTTTTGGAAAAGAGACCTTCCCGTTCGTCTTCTTCTTCACAAATCAACAACCAGAGAGACTCCCCCCTCACGTCTTCGTCTCCACCCCAAAACCAGTCAAAGCGGCCATTAAAATTAACCCCAAACAGTCACCAAAAATCGGTAAATGGCTGTTTCCTTCAGCTGAATTTAAAAGGAATTCGAAAAGGTCGAGTCCAAAGTCTATTGTGTCATCGAGGTTCGAGTTTGTGCCCGTCGATGTTTCGGACTTGTTGAAGTCTCATTACTGTTGAAGTTGTCGAATCTGCTGGGTTATCTGGTTCAGAGCTGTGGATTTGTGCTCTAGTTGCTATTGCTGTTGATCTTCCTTACAAATAGAAGTCGGAGCTGTTTGCGGTTGTTTCTCCTGCAGTTAGTAGCTGAACACCCATTTGAAGTTATTTTCGGCCTTTATTTGGCTATTTTAAAGTCTTACTACTGCTGTCCAGAAATTTTTATATATAAAAAGCTGTTTTGGAGCCCTGGAATTGCTGCTCGTTGTCCGTTGATTTGCGTTGTCGTTACACTGTTTCTCGTTGTTGTTCTGTCGCTATGGAGCTACATTTGTTTTTAACTCCATACTTTATTTGATTAATTTCTGCCCGGAAAAGGAAATGACTGGAGTTGTGTACTGCATTTGGAGCTGTGTAGTCAAATGCATTTGCTGAAGAACCCGAAATCATTGCGTGAGATCTGCTGGTTCTCATCGGAATTTTGGGAGTCAAATATAGAGCTGTGGCTGATTATTTCTACTGCTATCAAGGAGATATTCGCTGGAACAGGTACATTTCCCCCTCTTATTTACTTATTCATTTGCTGTATTTATGGTGAATTGGGGTCCATTTCTCTTTCCTTTCCTAATTTGGTACTACTGTATTCCTTAGTTTAATTAATTCCCCTGATGTACTTATTGGTGCTTGGTTCGTTTATTACGTGATGGCATTTGATATATGTCCAGTTATAAGCCATTTGTTTGTTTCAGCCTTAAAGTGTGTTTGTTGGATTGTGGAAAAAAAGGGTAAATTAAAGAAGTCACACAAATCCAAATCTCAGTAGCGTTGAATAAAATGTGTTTCGAATTGCGGGTGCATTTCATGTGACGTGGTCCAAAGACATGTTTTAGACGACGTTAAATCTTCTTTAAAATGAATAAAAGCGGTTATAGAGTTAAAATTGTACCATAGGCTAAAACATGTAATAAAATCAGATAATAAGCCGATTTTGATAGTTTAAGCGACCGTGCTAGAACCACGGAATCCGGGGGTGCCTAACACCTTCCCCCGGGTTAACAGAATTCCTTATTCAGAATTTTTGGTTCGCAGACTTCAAAAGGGAAGTCGAAATCTTCCTCGATTTGGGATTTAAAATAAACCGGTGACTTGGGACACCAGAAAACAAACCATCCCAAGTGGCGACTCTGAATAAAAATGAATAAATAATCCCATTTCGAATAATGTCACTTTAATTGGAAAAACTCCCTTATCCATTATCCTTCGGGGTAGGTGTGTAAAAAGGAGGTGTGAAAAATACCAAAAAAAAAAAATACTTCAGTTTGCACTTTTGCCTTTTTTTTATAGGTTATTAATTTTTCTCTTTTAATTTAGGATTAAATAATTTTTATGATTTTTATAATTAGTTAATTAGTTTAATTTTATATTTTTTAGATAATCTAGGATTTTAATTTTAGAATTTTTAATTAAAAAAAAAGAGAAAGAGAAATAAGATAAAATAGTTAAAATTGAAAGGAGTTTGTTAAATTTGGAATTGGGCCAATTTAGCCAAAACCAGCCCAAAACTACCCAAATTTCGCCCCAGCCCAGCAAATTGACCCGACCCGCCTAGCCCATAACCTAATCCCTTCCCCATTAAAAGGATTGAAGGCATCAGATGAGGGGGGACACACGCAATACCCATTTTCTCATTCATTCACTCATCTGCACACACTCTCCTCTACTTATCCTCACTCACTAAACTCACGCAAGAAAAAAGAGCTGAGAAAGATTCGAAAACAAAATGCGAAGAAGTCTGAAACGGAGAAGGAAAAGCAGTAGATTTTAAATCCAAAATAATTTGAGAGTTGTCGCTGCTTCGAAGCCACAATTTCATTTGTGTTTCTGAATTTTTAAAGTGGATTCAATGGTGATTTACTGTTTGTTAGTCGTTGTTTCTTCAACCGGAAAGCTGTGTTGATTTCTGCTGCATTATCCTCTCAATTTCTGGTTTGTTCGAGTTGTATGTCGGATTCGAGGTCTGAAGCTATGTGCTGTTGGTTCTGCTTATGCTGGGCTCCAAGCTACTGATTTCCGGCATGTATTTGGCCTCCTTATCTTCTAAATATGGTCCTTAAGCAGATAGGTATGTTATTCATAGAACTATTCCAAAAAATCTGCTTCCAGTGGTAAATCATGATGTTGTTCGATTCATTTAATGCTAATGCTGGTCTCTATTCGTTGGATCTGGTTCAAAACAGTGATTTCGAGAATAAAACTTATAGTTTTTGGCTTTGTTTCATGGCTTATACGATTTTGGCTTTGGTTTCATGATAAGTTCACAATCGGCTGTTATGCTTG